CAGTCACAAACCTCATTAAAACTGACAGGCACTCTGGCCATGCTTTGTTCAGGAAGGAGCAGTTAAAATCCTTCACGGCGTAAGATAGCTAAAACCTAGAAACCGCTGCCCACGGCACAGGGCTACATGGCCAAGTGCTAAGATGAGCTGACTCGTATGAGCAAGCACCAATTTGGAGAAAGTCAGAGAGACTTTTCTAGGGACTGCTTGCGAACGCAGCAGCTAGAGCACAGATTGGTTGCAGCTGTGTTTGCCTGTGTGCATGTCTGGGACCGGAAACACCACGCAAGAGCCAGCAGACAGTGGGAGAAGCAGTGGTGTATGGCCCTGAGAAGAAGCCAAGGGACAGCTTCTGGGCAAGCATCCTGGCTAGAGCAGCAAACTTGGACTGCCGCACAGTATTCCCTCCCATTTGCTTCCTCTGCGTGCAAGGAAATGGGACGTGGCTGTACATTCTTTGTAAATAAATAAGATTTTTCTGAGGAGCTAACTGAATTCATCATCGATCCCCTCCACCCCCCTCTGCAGGAAAATCTGGCAAAGTGCTGAATATTAGTTAACCGTGTGGGTCAAAGTTCCGTAAGTAAAACTACAGAGCTTCTTATTACTGCTAAAATAGTCACCAGAGACCCTGCAGATATGAAGGCAGTCTCTGAAATTCAGACCTCAAAACAGCAGTTGATCATGTCAATTGCTGATGATCTTTCATGGATTTTAATGGCTGGTATTTCTACAACGCATATTAAAAGTAGCTTTTATAAAACAATAACAAGAAACTGCTTTCTCTGATCCCTCATTTGGAATGTTTAATTAAGTCCAGATGTTTCTGTTGAAAAGAAAGGTAGTCAGATGTGATGTAGCTGTGAAACGTTTATATATGAGTAAGGTATTTGATACACAGGGCTGTTTTGAATAGTTTCTTTATTTATGTTATTTTACAGCATCTTATCAAGCTGCTATTGGCATCAAAGCTCTTGCAGATTTATGTCCATTTTTAGGTACCCACAGCAACTACATTGTCCACCTCAAACTGAGGGTATGCTCATCCCAGCACAGCTGGATAAAGCAGTGTCCTTCCAGAAGTTTCTGTCCTGACACTGGAGTGTACTCTCAGTGTGCTCTGACATCTCTGTAACAGGACATGAAGCCTTAGCCTCCTTCAGCTGGAAGTAAAAGGCAGGTTTGCAGCCAAGAATAAGACTGTAAAATTCCCTCAACTTGCCTCCTTTCCTTGGAGTTTCACTCTAGGAGACAATTGCAATCTGACAGATCTTTGGTAGCATGGCTTCAGAGGTGCCTTACTGATGGGGAATACAAACTTGGGAGAAAAAGAAGGCAGCTTTTAATTCCAGCTACATTTATCCATCAGTTCTTCTCCAGCACAGCACAGCAGGTGCCTGGGGCCAGGAATGAGCAGCTGGTGTGGCCGAAGGGCAAGGCTGTGTTACTTTTGGCAGTAGTGCTGGCAATAGCTGGCTGGAAGCATTTGTGAAATTATGGCCTGTGGGGACACTTCTGGTTTATGCTGATGTGTGTGCAGGCTGCCACCAAAACAGGCCCTCTTGCTGGCTCATCCTGGCACTGGTGTTTGTTCTGCTGCGGGACCAGCTGGCTGCCAGAATTGATCCTCCTGAAAACTTTTTTTTTTTTTTTTTGTAAACTGGATTAACTTTCAGCTCTGTTGGCAAGTGGATCTAGCCTAACATGTGGCTGCATGAATGTTGGAGCCAGCAGAGAGGAGGCATCAGGAAAGCATGACTCAGGGAAGGGGAAAGGATGGAATGATCACTTTTGCCAGTAGCACAGTCTCATCTTGGCTTAACCGTGCAAGAATCTGCCTGTCAGGGTAGAATTACTGGTTACATCTTGAGTCATGTTAATGGCTTGCTTCCATGGAAAGGGAAAAATCTTGTTCCTCTTTTTCTTACTCCTCTGATGTTAGACCTAATGATTGTCTAATCTTGCACTGAACTGGTTTAACTCGTTGAATCAGCAGAAAACTCATCTTGGGAAAGAAAAGGGAATAGCGTTCTGCTTGGCTTAGTGGGTAGAATCAGCTCAGTGGACCATCTGTGGAGCCTGGCAAAGCTGGTCCAGGCAAGGAGAACAGGAGCTGACACTCTGAAGTTGCTGACTGAACCACAGCACAGAGCTTCGGTCTCTGAAATCTCCTGTTATAATGCTTACTAGAAGAACTGTGATCTGGGTTCTCTCTGTAGTTTAAAGATGACAATAGGCAAATATCCCTTTGTCTTACAACAAACATGGTGTTTGTCTTGAAAAACTGGAAGTTGCCACTATTTTGTAATTAATTCCAAATTCTTACTCCTGTGTTTTCAAGCCTCAAATGGCTAAGTGACATTTATTCTAACATTTCCCTTCAAGTTGGACCTCTCCTTTGAGCCTAGCTTTTGCTTGGGTTTGTTTCTGTATTAGATAGGGAAATACTGCCACAGATATACTAACGCTCTTTTCCATCAGCCAGAACTTTTCTCTGAAGTTTCAACAAATGGCCTTTGATGGTTCTATGGGAAGACACTGTGCTCTCAAATGCGGGAATGCAAGCGCATAAACAAGCTGCTATTGAAACTGCTGCTACAAAGCAACAAAGAGTTAAAAGGAGTATAAAAAGGTGGACTTAGATGTGTGCAAAATGGTTGTGTGCAACTCTATCAATCAGAGAAGAAGGAGAAAAATGCCCTAATTCTCTCTGACCGTGCTCAGGACAGCCATGGGACACTTAAGTATGATGCTGGCTAGACAGTGTTTCTATGCACCAAGCACAGAAATCCCATGCTGTGTTTTCCCAGAATTTTAAGCTTTCATCTTTGACAGAAGAAATCCTAGACCATTTCAGATGCACTTAATGAAGAGGACATTTCACAGGTGGGCAGGTGTCCACTCTTACACTCATACAGCTCCTTCTTCATTTATCAGGAGACAGAGTAGGACCAGCCCAAAGAATTATGGAGAATAAAATGTACTCTAAAAAAAAAAAAAAAAAACAGGAAAAAAAGTTATATATGAAATATATGAACTTAATGAGTGAGAAATCTAAAATGCCATGTTGTTGTTAGTCTTTAACCTTATGACTAATCCTTAACCATAACATTGCAGAGAAGATTAATAGAACTCAGGAATTCTTGATATAAAAGTGGCTGTTGGAAAAGTGTAGACAAGGGGTTACTCGGCAAACATAAGTGTGCAAGCATTGGGATGCAAATTTGAATGCAATTTGAGTGTCTGAGGAATGGGCTGAGCTATCACTTTTCAGTAACTACCTGGAGTTACTTGCTTTTAAGAAACGGCAAATAAGATTCTGGACAGTTAAGACGACCCAAGCAGGACACTGAAATGCACCTGAAGGTCTTGATTGCTTTTGTGTAGCAACTCTACCCCCTGGGTCCGTTCTCTAATAGATAATGGGTGAAATGCCCAAGTGTGTGAGCACTCTGAAGGAGATTTTCAAAAATGCTTGTCCTTGGTCAAATTGCTCCCATTGAGTCCAGCTGAGCAGGCAGGCCAGCTAGGGTGGAGGCAGCAAGGAGGAAGTGAGGAAGAGGACAGATCTTCCTCTTCTGGCTGCAGTAAATTGGGGGAGCATAGGCTTAGCATGTTATTGAATGCCTTTTAGGATCTGGATTCCAAAATAATCAGAAGAAAGATGTGAGATGCACAAGGAAGCTTTATTTGATAGAAGTACAGTCTGGCCTGTGATGTCACTTGTGTGGGTAGTCATGGAAGGGAATGGCCTCCCCTGTGCTGATGAGTGATGTGACTGCAGTGGGTGTGCAGAGTAGGGAAGTGAAGGATGCAGGAGGCAGAGTACATGTGTTTTGGAACAGTTTTTGATGTAGACTTTCACAAAGTCCAACTTGAAAGTAAGTTCAGTTTGGCCTTGATGTGAGACCTGTTGTGTTGACAGGTCTTATGCGGACAGAAGGACCGCAAAAAAGATGCAAATCAAAGAGGTTCTCTGCAGTTTCAGCACTTTCAGACACAGTTTCGTAGTGCTGTAACTAGAAGGTCCTCCCAGGCAGAGGTGGGATCCCTCCTGCTTCCTTTCCGTGGGTCTGGTCGGAAGACCTGCAGAGGTTTGACAGGTCACATTAGTCTCCAAAAGATTCACCAGCAGGAAATGGTACAACCAGTGCGTTAAAGCAAAAAGGAATGAGTCTCCATCCTTTTAGGAAGCACATAAGGATATCTTTTTGAAACGATTGTTATTTTAATAAGTGCTTTCAGGAGGTGGAAGATGCTCAGCAGGATTGCCGCCCAGCAGCACCCTTCCTGAGGCTGTGCAACGTATGCCTGTGAGCTGCAGCCTGAAGTCTAATTTGAGAGAGTTAATCAACATCTGACACCCGTATATATCTCGGCGGAGGAACAGGCTGCAGCCTCGGCAAGCGGCATCCCCCCGCCGGCCCCTCTCCCGGCAGCCCCGGGGGCTTCCCGCGCCGCCCGCGGGCAAGCGGAGGGGGAAGAGCTGCAGCAGCTGCTGCCCCGCGGCTGGATCGGCGGCCGCAGGCCAAGGTGGGTGGAACGGCGGGGCGGCAGCTCCCGGCCCATCGCTCCCGGGGGCCGGAGCCGGGGCCGGGCGGGCAGAGCGGCGGGCCTGGAAGAGGGGGAGCGGCGCCGGGCGGGGCGGGGGCCGAGGCGGCGGCTGCCCCAGGCTGCCCGCGGCCCCGGCCGGCCATGGTGAGTAGCGGGGCCCGGGGAAGGCAGGACGGGCGGGCGGGCGCGGCCGGGGGCGCGCAGGCCGCGGCTTTGTGAGAGCGGCGGCCTCGCCCGGCCCGGGGCCGTGCCGCGATCGCGGCCGGTCCCGCTCGCAGCCGCCTCCTCGTGAGCCCCGCTGGGCTGCGCAGGGGGATCCCCAGGGCCGCCCCCCGGGCTGCGGTGCCGGCGGAGCCCGGGGAGAGCAGGGCCGACGGCCGGCTGGAGAGCCGTAGTTTGGGGGGGATTACGCGATGGGATCGGAGGGGGTGTAACCAGAAGCAGCGAGGGAACCTCTGCCTGGCCAGAGGCACGGGGAGGTGAGCGCGGGAGCCCGCCCTGGTGCAGCCCCGCATTCGACTCGTTGTCAAGCCCTGTGGGTGAAGCGGTGTTCATGGGACTGGAACTGCACTCTTGTTTCTCTAGGCCTTTCCGGCTCTCTTGAAACTGCACTGAACCGAAATTCCTTATTTCTCCAGGCCTCGCTAGCTTTCTGGAGGCTGCACTTACTGGAACTACCTGGTGCTCCTGGAAAAATGTTTGGCCATGAAATAACACTTACACGCCATTGCAGGGAACTTGTAGTACGGGAGTTGTCTTTCTGTTTTGTTTGAAGCTCAGTGAAATTTTGGGTTTGCTTTCAGTCTGCTGCTGGCTGATAAACCTGACTTCTGTGCTGAGAGGCATACTAAATTAATTTCTATTTGGAGCGTGGGAGAAAGCTACTGTGGTTGTTTTTGCATTTATGGTTTGATGTGTTTTGCCATTCTTTTTCCTAATGATAAAACTGTGCAAATTGCCCTTTCTGATGGATGACATCTGCTGGGTTTGTACCCAGAGATGCTTTTGGTCCGTGTGCTACAAGTGAGGAATTCCAGGCCATCCAAACCTGGATCAGAAGTTACACAGAGAAGTTCCCAATGGAGAAGTTGAAATGTTGCTGTAGTTCCTCACGCAAATCCCAGGTTGCTAAGGGATGTGTCAATCCACAGACAATTTACTCTCTGAAATTAATGTCCTGAAGAAGATGGAAGTTCACCTGACCCAACCAGTCATACAAGTCTTCACTATTTTTGGTTTGGTGTTTTTGGTGTTGTAAGAGGAGGGGAAAACTTGTAAACTTGCCTTTTTTGTGTGTGTGGTTTTTAAATTTTTTTTTTTAGTTCAACGTTTTTAATAATGTTGTATAAAGGTGTTGAAATTCGGTTATATTTATAAAACATAACTATTTAATTGGATAAGTGGAGTTGGAGTGCAACAGGACAGTTTTATTTGGATCATGAAGCCTCTCTGTGTATGTTTTTTGTATTTTTAGTAGTGTGAAAGTCTTCAGTGTTTGTCCTGCAATTTTGATGGGATGTGTTGTAGTAAGCATTTTCTGCAGTGGTTTGCAGTTCTTGCTGTCAGGCATGCAGAGCTGCTTTTCCAGCTCCCTAACTGGAATGTAAAATCCTCCCTGGTAAAGGAGATGGACCAGAGCAAATACTTTCTGCACTGTGAATTTCCATTTACTAAAAGATGGAGAAGTCCCATTTTGGTTTTGTAGTTATTATCCTCTTAACACATGAGCAAAACTGATCTTTGTGCTGCTACTGTGGCTAAAAGCTGTGACTGCAAGTTGGAAAGAGGGGTATTCATGAAGAGGAAGACTTGAGTATAGGGACAAAATCATCATCTTCCTGTGATCCCATTATTTTTAGCAGTAGGAAGAAGATGGAATAGAAACGTTGCTTGTTTGAGCATCAAGGTGCTTCAAAACCAGATTCTTCTTGCAGAAAAGGAGGTTTCTGAGTTGGATCTGTGGGCTTACAGAAAACCTTAAGTGGTAAATGGAGTCATTAGACCTCTTGTCTGGGGCTTTGTCCCCCACTCTAGTGGTGGCTTCTTCTGCCTGATGACCTTACTCCCGAGTAGAAAAGCTGACAATTTTTTCGAAGTCTCCTTTTTCTAACAAGCACAGAGAATGCCCCTGTGGAGGGCCAGGCACAAGCATGTAAGCATGTTTGTCTCAAACATTCTGCCTGTTGTGCTGTGACAGGAAAGTCACAGCGATTGGAAGGGAGGGTCCCAGGGAGGCAAGGCAGCACTGCTCTGAGCCAACTTCCCTTTCATTGCCAGGCTTGCAAGTCAGCCTGGAGACTTGGGCTCAGTGTGCCTGCGGCAGGAGAAGGGGCAAGTCCCAGGTGTCTCACTAAAGGTGGCTCCTGGGCCACCACAGACCCCCAGCCTCTCAGTTCCTCATTTCCTCACTCATTTCCTGGAGGACTCGACAGGGTTCACTGCGCATGCACAAACAGCAGCACATGGCGCGAAAAGTAAGGGGACCCATGCTTGGGAAACTGTAAAACGAAGTGGATCGGCCCTTGGCTTCTGTTGACCCTGGATCTGGACCATCTATGGTGGCAGGACCGACGTGGGATCTTTTCCCTTCACTTTCTGTCTTTTCCATCCTCATTCTCTCCTTTCTTGTTATATCCTGGCAAGTGCAGCAATCATACCCTACCCCTTAATCCCTACAGAAGTTTTCTGCGAGCTTGTTAAAGTTCGTTGTAAAAGTTAAGAGCTTGTTAGCTAACACTCCTGTGACTACGTAGTGGGCTAGTTGTTGGAGTTAAGGTGGCTATATAACAAAGGATCAGAGTTCTCTGACACTGGACTGGTGTCTTTGTTCAGACCAGCGAGAATTTATAATGAAGATCGTGCCTGCTTCTGGATGGTGACAGCCCCTCCTTCTCACTTCAAAAGCATGGGAGGTTTGCTTATGCCTCTCAAGAATGCCTTTTACTGTGAAGCTTCACTGGAACTATTGGGCCTTTAGTGAAAGTCAGGACTCACCTCGCCTTTCTTCCCTGTAGTGAACTTTACTTTCCTTGGATCAGTGGTATTGATTTTATTGCTCTTCTTGTCCTGTGCAGCGTGGATCTTCCCTTGCAGCTCTCCTCTTGGCTCCCACATTTTCCATTTTATATTTCTTTGAGGGGACAGAAACTTTAGTATTTACATCAAAACTAATTAAGAGCTCATTCACATGCCTTGTAATCACAGCAGTGTTTGATGCACTTTTTTGTGATACATCTTTCAATTTATAAAAGGAATTTTATTACGTATGTATGAATACATGTTGTATAATGTGGAAGGAATTTATGCAAGAGAAGCATCTTTCTAATTATAGCTCAAGACTAAGTGTTTCAGAGCTTTGGCTAGTACAAACTATCACCCAGTTTGGCCTTTATTAACTTTTTGTTTTCTAAGAGCGTCTGTAAGTTACAAGGTGTCTGCGTCTGAGAACTTGTCTTTGGTTAGAGGCAAGGGCAGGGTATGGACTGGATCCCTTTACTGAGACTTTCCAGTTGGAAGGATTACATGATAAACCTTCCTGTAGGTCCTCTCCACAGAAGGAAATTGCTGAGGCATGGATGCTGGTGGTGGAGAGAAGGGAATTTGAAATAGTGATTGCAGACGAGTAAAAATGGTTAACAGTTTTGCTTCATGATGAATTTTCAAGGATTATGGGCAGCTGTTATTTGAAGTATTTTAACTTCATGCTGAGTAGCTTAACAGTAACACATTCACTTGGCTATTTAAAGATGCTGCAAGAGCAAGAGAAAACCTAATTTTTAAAGTGAATGGTGACTCTCCTTTTGCCTTACAAGTAGAGCAAAGAAACACATTCTTTATCAGCAGAAATACTGAAACTGGACTTTTTCAGTCACTTTTAGTGTTGTCTATGGTAGCAGTGCATGGGGTTTGAAACTGGAAGCTTTGGATGAGTTAAGCAAGTACAGAGTAATCAAATCTTAGCAGGGCGTATTGGCTGGGTATCTTTTGTGCAAATCCAGTTTCTGTGTATTGCATCAGCGAGGAAAGATATAAGTCTTGAACTGTTATTATGAGTATGTGAGTTATTTTCTTTCAGAGTCCCTGCTGGGATTGGCAAGCCTTTTTTTTTCCAGCTTTTTTAGTTGAAAGTCCAAAAAAAAGGTTCTGCCTGAACACTACACCATTCTTGTGCCTGCCATCTGCTGGCCTGATACCACAGCTCTGGGGGACTGTCTGCAAAATCCCAGCTGAGGCTCTGTCTTAAGGGTACTGGAGGGAAAAAAAATAGATCCTTTTCTCACCGAGGCTTGTCTCAGATGGAGATCGGTTTTTGCATAGTCTCCCTGAGGGAGAAATAAGTTTTGTAAGTTCTGTTACCATCTTTCTTCTCTTTCCTAGGATATGATGGAGCTCCTAGAGGAAGATCTCACCTGTCCCATTTGCTGTAGCCTGTTTGATGATCCTCGAGTCCTGCCCTGTTCACACAATTTCTGCAGGAAGTGTCTGGAAGGAATTCTCGAGGGAAATGTGCGGAACGTGCTTTGGAGACCATCTCCTTTCAAGTGCCCCACATGCAGGAAGGAGACTCCTGTTGCTGGAGTCAACAGCTTGCAGGTCAACTATTCCCTGAAAGGTATTGTGGAGAAGTACAACAAAATCAAAGTATCTCCAAAAATGCCTGTGTGCAAAGTGCACAGTGGGCAACCCCTTAACATTTTTTGCCGGACAGACATGCAGCTGATCTGTGGGGTTTGTGCCACCCGTGGTGACCACACAAAGCATGTTTTCTGTTCCATTGAAGAAGCTTATTCCCAGGAGAAGCGGGCTTTTGAAACCCTCTTTCAGGGCTTTGAAACTTGGCGTTGTGGAGATGCCCTCTCACGGCTGGATACCTTGGAAACCAGTAAGAGGAAAGCTCTGCAGATGCTGACCAAAGATTCTGACAAAGTGAAAGAGTTCTTTGAGAAGCTGCAGCACACGCTGGAGCAGAAGAGAAATGAGATTCTTTCTGACTTTGAGACCATGAAGCTTGCAGTGATGCAGGCCTATGATCCGGAGATCAATAAACTGAACACAATTCTGCAAGAGCAGCGGATGGCTTTTAACATTGCAGAGGCCTTCAAAGATGTGTCTGAACCCATTATATTTCTGCAACAGATGCAGGAGTTCAGGGAAAAAATCAAGGTGCTCAAAGAAACGCCTTTACCTTGTTCCACTGTGGACATCAGCCCCACAATGAAGAGCTTTGATACCAGCCAGTGGAATGGAATAAAACTAGTTGATGTGGACAAACTCTCCTTGCCTCAGGAAAACAACACTTGCAAATTCAAGATTTCCTCAGTCTTTTCATGGAGATTTATACTGAACTGTCTTATTTTCTTTACAATTATCTTGTCCTATTTGGCAGATAATGTGGAGATAGCAGATCATGCAGTCTTTTACTGGGAACAGATGGCAGATGGAGCTTCACTTCTAAGAGAAAAGTGTAAAAACTATACGTTGGTTGTACTGGATAATGTTGCGGAGTTTGTGTGCAAATATAAACTGTTGTGAAGTCCCTGCTGAAATATAAGAACTAAGAGAGATCTGGGGAAGAAAACATAGAACTTCTTAAAATTAATTGGTCCTTTAAGACTTCTGGTAAAAACATTCAAAGATTCAAAATGTTGCCAAAACATTCACGCTGTTCACATAGTTTGAGCACTGATAAACCGGTTAAGATGAAATGGAGCTTTGGAAAACACTTAACTTCTGGATTCTTCTTTCAGTTGTGAATATGGGAATATTATTCACTATAAATCATTTTTCTTACCAAAATACAGGGCTGAACTGTGTACTTAGTTTAATGTTAATGTAATTGTAGAATAAGATAAAAGATCTTAGTTTTAAAAATATTTTTTTCCAACTGGAAGGTCATTTGGTAAGAGGAAGAGCAGTTGTGGTCGAGGTGACTGCTGTATTGCCAGGCTTGCTGAGGACTGCCCTTCCTCTGCAAAATGCAGCGTGCATCATTCACAGTCTGGAGCCGCTTTGTGACTGACAATGTATTTCACTTCTCACTGAAGTAGCTGTTTGGTGGGGTTTTTTTTGTATAAGCAAATGTTGTAATTACCTTGTGCATTCAGATTATGCGTTCTACACAAAAATGTGTCTTCAGGGCAAGCATAAATTCTAGAGGTAACAAGAAATCAGTTGAAGTTGATAAGAACAAGCTGCAAGATAGTGTGTACTTTGCAGGTAGTACGTACTTTGCAGTTTACTTTTCCAGCATGGAATTGTTGGGGTAGCTGAGCTGTTTTGTGAGATACATGTTTCTATGAAGCCCCACTTTCTTAAAAAGTGGCCTTAACGTAAACAGTTTAGTGCAGAGAAAGGCACACACAGGGGTCTGCTACAGGAGGGCAGCTTGAGCTTTAGCCCTGCAGAGGTGGCAGGTAGAGCAGTTTCTCTCCTGTCCCGCTCCGTCTCCCCAGATCGTAATTCCAAAAACCAGGAAAAATGATTGGATGATTCCTTGAACAGGTTGTGTCATGTAACAGGTGTATGGATATTGTTGATCTTTGAAGTGCTTCAGCATCGGGACTTATATGGGTTCTTCTGCTGTTACTGTATTTTTGTGTATCTTGTTTCAGGAGTTAATTGAATTTTCTGGGTGTATTGACTTGGCCTTAGGATAACAGTGATTTAAAGTGAACCTTAAGCTTGAGTTCTCTGAAGTGCCCTTCTTTAGGAGCATACACTACTGAAATGTCTTGCTTGAAGCACATCTAACCTCTTTTTGCAGTGGTCTTACGAACAGCAGTGTATGGAATGAACCATTGAGTTGGCATTTCCAGAAAACAAACATAACATGTGCCATACTTTGGGAATAGTCATTTGCCTCTCTGAAGGTTTAATAAGTTGTGACGGTCTATTCACTGTATTCCAGTAGTCCTTGCAAGCTGCTCATTAAAAAAATAAAACATTAAATTCCAAGAATCAAAGTTTCCAAGCAACCAAACAAACCCAGCAAGCAAAACTATTGTACACGATATTTACATTTTTGTTGCCTGGGAATCCTGTTGCTGCTCCACACCTCACTCTAAACACTTGCAAAAACCACTCACTGGTTCTTGCAGCTGCAGCTGCCTTGCAGTTTAGGGAAGATCAAGTCACAATCGTGTAGATCAAAGAGTTATGATTCCTGAGTGGCTGAGGCAGCGATGAGTAATGAAGAGGTGGTCGTTCTGAGCGTGGGAGGTGTGAGATATGTAACCCGGGCTTCTACACTGCAGCAGTTCCCTGAGTCCAGGCTGGCACGGATGTTGAACCACGATGAGCCGGAATTCAAACTGGTGAATGGAGAATTTTTTGTGGACAGAGATGGAGCTTTGTTTAGTTACATCATGGACTTCTTGAGGACTCTACAGGTCTCCTTACCAACTGATTTCTCAGACTATCAGAGGCTGCGGAGAGAAGCAGAATTCTATGGACTCCACCCCCTGGCTGACCTCTTGAGCCAGGAACACTTGCTGAAGCCGAGGCTGGAGATCTTGGAAGTGCGTTTTTCTCTCCAAGAAATGCAGGCCTTTTTCCGGGTCTTTGGTTCCTGCAGTACCACTGTGGAGGCACTAGCTGAGCAGGTCACTGTGTTTACAGGGCAGCAGCCAGGACAGAGCTGGAGCAGCCCTTTTCCTTCTCAGCAAACACTCGTTCCACTTCCTTTGGAAAGACCTTCTCATCACGACATGGTTTTTCAGTGTGGTACTGAGTACTCTGCTGGGGACCAGTTTGTGGCCAGGTACTCTCCTAGTGTGGCTTCTCGTTTTGGAGATGTCTTTGTGACTTCTAGCTCAGGTAGCACACCCTGTGTGCTAGCAAAGCTCGTTTTAAAGAAACTGTCTGAGAGAAAAGAACTATGTTTCCTTATTTCTGGTAGTTTAATGGTATCTTTTTCTAGTTCTGAAACACCCAACCGATTTGTCTGTTCTTCAGCTTTCTAAAATATTGTTGATGTTTGTGTATGAGTTCTTTTGGGTCTTTCTGTCTGACCTTTACTCCTCACTTGCTTTAAAATTTCACAGCATCAATGACCTTTTAGAAGACATGAAAAACAGAGTAAAATGAAGCAAAGGAGACAAAATAAAGGAGTGAAGTACTGGGGGAAAGCCTAAAATCTCCACTAGCTCATGGTCCAAAAGGCTTTCATACAGAAAAGAGGAAAAAGAGAATTTCTAAACAGGGTTAAAACCACCAGTGAAACCAAGATAGCATTGCAGGGACTGGAGAGCTTTTGTAGAGCCTTTTATTGAGGGGAGGGAGAAGGGATAGATTATTAACTATATGCTCCATAGTGGGTTTTCTTTGAATTCAGAGCCAGGTTCTGTTTTTATTAAGATTACTGTATATCAGTAATTTTTGTGATAGCAGTATTGTATTCTAATGACAACTTACGTTTTTAAACAAGCTTTTGCTGGATGTCTCTACTGTATGGAGGCATGCTCTTGCTGTATATGAAAATGTAACCTAATTTGTCCTCTGTGGCTGTTAGAACATCTGGAATTTTATGGAAATTTCATTGAAACATTTCCAAAAGGGTTATTCTATCTGACTATATGAACCAACACAGCAGTCTTTTGATTATTTATAAAAGAAAATAAACTTTATCTTTCTTCTAGCTTTCTTTGGCTAAGCAAGTAGAAGAAAAACTACTCTGCATTCATGAAGCAACATATATTCGTGTGCCAAACCTTAACTTCGTAATGTATTACTAATTTTAGTTGGTTGCGTAGGTTATGGCAACTTAAATAGTAAGGAAAATACTTCTGATTCTTTCTTTTATTTCTTCAGACTTGGTAAAAATTTTCCTCTGCAGATCAATAGAAAAGCTTATCTTGAGTAATGAAACAAGTCAAGTTTGATTATGTTGCCTGCTGAATTTCTGTCTTATTCTTTGCGGTGACGTGGATTCTTTTGCCTTTTTTTGTGCTTTCCACAAATATTTGTTGTACTTCCCTGTGAACTGTGAAACAGTTTCACCTTGTCAGCTTATATATTTTGTAATAGTATCTTTACCTGACTTCTGTTCCTCAAAATGTATGGGTAGATTCTTACACTGTACTTTATATCAGGTAGAATTTTACGCAATGTGAAAATGATTTTCATACTTGTTGCCACAAGACCTGCTGTACCAGGTAACTTTGCAATAAATGTCACTGTTTGTAGAGAGAAATCCCATGTGCTGGCAAGTGATGCTCTTGGGGTGAATGGGAACTTCACTGACCATCATTTACTCTTACCTGAAAAACAGTTGCAGCATTAAATAGAACCTGCCACTCCCCTCTCCTCCGTTGAGTGAAACGAGATGGAGGTTGTCACAGCTATTTTCTCAAGAAAGTAAGTTTTGGGGGAGGATAGGAGGGGTGTGTGAAAGAGAAGTGCTTCTTCCTTGACATGTAACTGGATGAACTGAGTATTACTGTTAATGAAGGAAAGAGTTCAGTTGTCCTTAATGAGTTAAAAAATATCCAGAACCTTGGTTGCTGTGCTGACCTGCACTATCAGGAAGCAGTTAACGTGTGTTGTAACTGCCTTTTTTTTGTTCTCTGATTTTTAGGTATGTTTCCATAAAGCCTGATAATAGGAAGCTGATTAATGGTACTAATGTGCTAGGCCTGCTGTTTGACACTTTACTCAAAGATGGATTTCGCCTCATAAGTGCCAGGACAGTCTCCAGTGAAGAAAAGGTTGAATGCTACAGTTTTGAAAGGATGAAGAGGCCAGCAGGCCTTACTGTCATGGTGAACCAACCCTCGGGGAGCTCTGGGGTAGCAAAGGCAAGGGGAGGCCAAAAGCAGAAAGGGAAATAAAGGCTTTTCCTTTCATCTTTTAAAGGTGGAAGAGGGGTGTGTCAGCACTAGTGGCCTTTTTTTGTTGGCTTGTTTGAAACTGCAACTATTGAGGGAAGTAACAAACAAGCAATTTTTTTTTTTTCCAAGTACTTGGAAAAAAATTGCTTTCCTGCCTTTTACTGCTCCACCCTCTTCAACTTTAAATAAAAGAACCACAGATTCAATGCTGGGTTTGTGGACCAGATTCCAGCATTTTCAAGGGTTGTTTTTGTTTTTCTCTGTGGCTAAGATTTATATGGGGACTCACAAAGCATCAGCCATTTCTTCTGGAAAATCATTTTTATACTCTGTGCTAATCTGTAAGTAGATTTTAAAAACATTGTAATACATGAAGAAACAACAGCTTGACACAACTGTCATCCCAACAGTTTGGAGAAGTGGCTGGAGGAGGAATTCAAACCTCAACGATTGATGATTGCTTCTCCTTCTCACTGAATCTCTTGCAGTTAGCTGAGAGCAGCTAATTGCTCTAACGGGAAGATCCGGAGCAGTGCTGCTGTGTGGCTTTGTGAAGCCATCACCAGGCTCTGTGAAATAACACATTACTGTCTCTTGTAGAATACTCCTCTGTCCTCCTCCCACTCTGAAGGCATTAAGCTGTTCTTCAGTGCTGAGAATTAAATGATAAAGGTCTTTGTGAGCAAAGGGTCAGCTAATTTCTAGAGATTTAACTATAAAAAGGATGAAAATGCGACAAACAGTCCTTCAGATGGAAGAGTTAGTACAGTTTTAATCAAAATAGTACAAAGGACTTCTTAATGCTTGTTAAGTGCAGCACAGTTAGAAGGAAGGCTTGGCAGCAGTGGCTTTTAAAAAGCCTTGGGAATGTTAGCCCTGTACAAAGGTTTGTAAAAATGCGAAAATTAGCTCAGGTACTGGGAGAGGTAAGTTAACGAGACTTTATAAATTATCTTTTGCCCTCCCTTCAAGGCAGGGAAAGAAGATAGCAATAACTTCAGGGATCACTTATTTGCATCTGGCTTTTGTTGTTGATAAAACACCATCTTTCCAGAACTACAAACAACCCAGTAGAGCTTGTTTGGGCCTTCTTGGCTGACCATAGAATCATAGAATATGCTGAGTTTGAAGGGACCCGTCAGGGTTGTCAAGTTCAACTCCTGGGACTGTGCAGGACACCCCAAGTATCCCACCATTTGGACAGCACTGTCCAAATGCTTCTGCCTGCAGAACTCTGTCAGGCTTGATGCTGTGACCACTGCCTTGGAGAGCCTGTTCCAGTGCCCAACCACCCTCTGGGTGAAGAACCTTTTCCTAATATTTAACCTAACTCCCTTGACACAACTTTGGGCCATTCCTTCAGGTCCTGTCCTTGGTCACTACAGAGAAGAGATCAGTGCCTGCCCCTCCTCTTCCCCTCACAAGGAAGTTGTAACTGCAGTGAGGTCTCCCCTCAGTCTCCTCTTTTCCAGGCTGAGCAGACCAAATGACCTCAACTGCTCCTCACACGGCTTCCCCTAAAGGCCCTTCACCATCTTCATTGCCCTCTTTTGGACACTCTCTAACATCTTAATATCTTTTCCTCTTTGCTTGTTCTAGAACTTTTTGTGTTGAGAATAATGTGATTATGGGACTACATCTCTTAAGCTGCTTACAGGTTATATATAATGTAATAAATTTTGAGGAATGTAAGAGTGAATGCTTTCACGTCAATTTTTTTTTTTTTTTTTTGTCAATCATGTCACTATGTTCATATTTGTCTTGAAGTAAGACATTTCTTACCATGAGAACCATCATTCACAGATGATCTTTTGAGTTCCCTTCCAGCCTGGCCTGTTCTATGAATCTGTGGAGACCTTCTCTGAAGGTCTGTGTCAGAAAGCCTGTCATGGTGGGCTTTGAGGTCAGACTTCTGATGGCAGCATTCAGGTGACACAGCTGTGTGGGTGCCTGTCCCCACAGGTTGCTGTACTACAGAGATTACGCTGCTTGTATGAAAACAATAATGTTGAGTGTTGAGTGAGTTGATTGTGAATACTGTTGATGGAGAAACTTGCCAATAATAATGAGAATGCAAGACAAAAAGTGACCACTTTTTATGGAAAAAGTTAAAAAAATAGACTTGAGGCTGTATTTAGACGTCATGCCCTAAATGATCGATGATAATAGCGATGTAAACTAAGTGAGACTAGTTTCAGAACCTCTCATTGTAACAGTTACACTATTTCATCTACCACAAGAATACTGACTTTATTTTCCTTGCTGTAGCAGCCACTTGGAAAATTGAAGTTTGGATTACTTTTTTTATAAATAAAGTGAAAGAAAATATGAAATATTTCCTTCTTTAAAAAGCCCTGGAGTTTTAACCTATGGCATCACCCATGGTCCACGTCTTTCGCAAAATGAATATTTGGTACAACCATTTCAGTAACAACTTATGATGGGCTAATGCTGAACACTTTTTGGTTCCCCTCACGGATTAATTTTTATTCAGCACCAACATCGTTCTATGAATGCATTATTTTGGCTCTCATTATATTTGGAAAAATATACCAGTGCAATTTCCTGTCATGTAAAGGACTGTACATGCTTTACCTTGACCTTGGGTAATGGCATACTGTGAGACTACATGTCTTTTTGAAGCGAAACACATGACTGTCAGCAAGCTTGGATTCCCAGAGTTCTTCTAGCATTTACTCTTACTTAGCAATGAACTGTGAATTGTCACCTTCTGTCACTTGTGTGCCTGCAGAGAACATGACTGGGCTCTTATACAACACTTTCATTTTGTTGGTTTTTTTTTTTTTTTTAACTGATAGTTGCTTAAATAAGTTTGAGAGTGTGTGTGTGTGTGAAGAACCTGATAGAAATGTGTTGTGGCTAGTAGGATAACTAATGATGTTAATTGAAGGTTAATTGAATTAATAAATTTAATTGAAGCTGCTTCTTCAACAGAAAGCACCTTCCTGGATTTCTTGATACAGAAAATGAAAGCAGGGATGGTAGAGCTACTGGTGTTGTGTAGCTTCAAGCTACAACTAAATCGCAATAATCATGGAAGAAGGGATAAAATTATGTTCATTTGAAGACAAGTTAATATAAAAGTAGTGTTGATTTACTAGGAGGATCTTCAGCTGGCCTCCACCTTGCATGGTTATTTATGCTACTGCAAAGCATCGCTGAGCCAGGATGACAGTTCTTCTGTGCCCTCTTTGGAGAGGTGTGCAGTGTAACCTGCAGGCACCAGGGCAGGAATTTAGGAGTGACCAATGTTGTTACTGCCCCTTCCGTTCTGAGGTCCCCCAAAACAGGGATGCAGCGGAGAGCAGACCATGTGGTAAGTGCTCAGCAGAGTGGTTCACACGGGTGCGTTTGCGAGGAAGGGAACAGCTGTACAAGTAGAAGTGAACTTGGCTGATGGGGACTACAAGTCTGAGTGATTCAAAAAGCTGCTTGGTCAAAACCAGATTATGTGTTAAACCGAGTACTTTCACCCAGATCTTGGCAGGCAAGTTAACTCTGATACCTCACAGCACAATCTCTCTTAGACTAGCAATGTATTGTAGGTGACTTGGTCATGCTTTTACATGTGACAGAGCCAGAAGCTCTGATTGCTCACATCTAGCTCTATTTTTGATTAAATAGGAATGGGATTTTGACACATTTAGACTCCTTTTTCCAATGACAAAATTTGTTATCCCTGACATGATCCACTTCATCGTCATTGCCAACTTTCTCAAGAGAATTCCTTTCTTTTTCCTGGGAAGATGCAAAATTTGCTGATTTCAGTAAATTTAACTGCTGTATTTACCTTTTTATTATTCCCTGGATTCAGCAGAAATGTGCAAACTGCTCCACTGTCCTAGATGCTAGAAAGGGACTGCTGCAGTGCTGGGGCAGCCCTCTCTCTCACTCACAGCAAGCAGTGAGCTCTCCTTGGCTTTGTAGCAGGCAAGCAGACTGCCAGAGCAGTAAACAGATCACTAGGTAAGATAACACCATCATCCTGTCCCACACGGGCAGCAGTTTGCATGGCAGCAGTAGATCGTCTAAGAAGAGGTGATAGCTTGGTGGATTTGTAAACAGCAGATGACTGAGAAAGGCAACACCTCGTTTTCTTTTGTATTTTAATCACCTTTCCCTCCTTTATAGTTGGATTGCAGCCTGTATTTCTATATTATTTATTTATTCCTTATTATGTAAAGCCCTGTCAAGGCCTTTACCAGCACAATCTTTTGGTGCCTGTTGGATATCCCAGTGGGATAGAGGCACCACATTTTTCCCATCTTCCCATTCTTGTACTGTGATGATTTCCTTTTGTAGTGATTGATGTAATTTTTTGTGCTTATAGCTAACTTTATGACTGCTTCTTCACACAGTGGAAAGTTCTCATGTCCTTCTTATCTCTTCTGGGGACATGTAATTTATTTACCACCCAAATTGTTCAGTAATCTGCTGATAGCAGGAAGGAGAGAGTCTGTTGTGAAATACCTTCTTGTTCTTTGAGTATTGATTTCAGTATGACAGTTCATGGGGGTTTTTGTTTCTTTGGGAAGTGCAGTCACTGCATTCTTACAGGTTCTGCAGCCAGTGTTCATGTGAACGTATAATTTATTAAGAATAGAAGTTTAAATAAAGCTATTAAAACTGATACTATAGACTGAGATACTGTTTAGATTAAGACTGATCTCTTTGCTCTGGCCACAGTACTGGGAAATTTCCCCCTCAACTAAATAATTCCAAACCACTGAATTTCATGGAAATAGTAGAAAAGTGCTCCCTAAGAGGCTGTATATGAGGAATAATAGCCATAGGGTGAAAGAATGATGCTGGAGTAACTGTATCATGCCCAGGGGTAGTTACTTCTGTTATCTTTGGAGAAACTTTTCTGCACATTGGGCTCTTCCTACTTTCTACCTATTTTGGTTATTTCCCAGCTTTCCAATGCTCAGCAATAACTCCTTTAATCTGAGCTGAACAAGGCTGATGTGCTTTTGTCTGTCTCTGGAGTGGATAAGTCTAAAGGTATATTCCAATTCAGTACCAGAAAGCCACCAAAGTGGATCAGAAGCCCTGTTTGAGTTCACAACGAAGCATTCATGACTTTGAATTTTTTTTTTTTTTTTTTTTAAAATTTGTTCCCAGATTGCTGGAAAGTGTTACTGAATATTCATTGAGAAACAAGCTGGGAGTTATCCAAGAGGAGGAGGGAGGCTCATTGCTTCTTCCCTCTGATTTGTGCTGAACCATTGCCAGGCTTTAACTTTACAAGGTTTATTTTTATCGATTTTCAACAATAAACAGAGGGAGTACCTTCAATAAAAGATTTACAGTGCATCACGAGGAAATACAACTCCCTACCAAATATTATATTGATCTACTCCCAGATGCTACTGAAACAGCAAATAAAAGCCCAAATGAAGTCCAGTGATGGAGAACTTCCTCTCTTTAATGACAGATGCATATGACTGTTATGTCTTCAGAAAACAATAAAAGGGAAGGGAGTGACTCTGCTTCTTTGACCATATCTTCAACAGCCCAGTTAAATCTGTCAACTCAATGTAATCCACATAAATAAAAAATTTGGGAACCAAGGGAACTGCTAGTGCGTCTGAAGATTCCCATTCTTTGAAGCTGCCTCTCCTGCTGCCGTCAGGTCATAATTAGTCACAGAAGGCCTTGTTGTGACTAGCAAATGGATGGACCAACAATGATTTGAATAGTCTGGTTCTGACTGGAGATATGCCTGGAGCCCTGAACACTCTCAAATGGGTGGGTGAAATGTAAATCACTAGTCATCATATAAAATAAAAATAAATCTGACTTCTATTAAAAAAAAAAAGAAAAAAAAAAGGCAATGTCAGTTTTCTAGACCATCATGTATTTTCTACTGAAATAACACCCTGAAGTGTGATCTGATGTGTAAATTTTTCCAAGAATCCTTCCTCCATTTCTACTCTGTTTTCATTCTAATGGAATGGTTCAATAATTGGTGGCTTTTTTTCTGGTCAGAAGGATGATGAATGTAGCCCTAAAGGTTGGAAACAGTAATGTGTACAAGTCTGCTGAAGAAAATTAATTTAGGGCTTTGCTTTCTAAGCAAGTTACTGTTACAGCAGTCAGTTGAGTGCTTGCTGAAACTGTGAAGAATTAAACATTGCAACATTGTTCCATCCTGATTCTCCACTGGAAAAAAAAAAAAAAAAGGCAATAGATTGGAAACATCAAGTCTGGGGTTTTACTAGTACTTTAGAGTCAGGACCTGAGTTTTCTTTGAATTTCAAAGGCAGTTGGTAGCTTTCATTGAGGGCCTTCTGAAAAGACTGGTCTACAGTTTTTGTTTTTGTTCCCCAGTGATATCTAAACTGAGTAATAAAATAATTGCTGACATACTGGTTTATTTACAATGTTGTATTCAACAATAAACAGAAGGCATGCTCATCCTTCTATCCTTTAATCTTTGTGTTTTTAATACGTCTTCAGCCCACTCCTCAGCCTGGTACTGGTGGAACAGAGGAAAAGGCTACGTGATGAGGGCAGGCAGAAGAGATCCACAGAAGGCGGCCAACTCCCTTCTTTCCTATTACAGAGAGAGGGTGTTAAGGAATAAAATTAGGCTGGAAAGAATCATGGCTTTTGTGGGACCAAAGACACACAACTTATTTCAGTAAATTTATTGACATAAATTTAAATAATAGATTTAAATTTATTGAAGGGAGGACAGTTAACAGAGCTGTCAGAAATGTCAATTCCACTGGATAAGGAAAAGCAGATCTCACAGGGGTGAATGAATGGGTGGGTGATAGCTGCTATATGAACATGGAAATGGCACAGAACAACCTACAGAGGAGACGTAAATGTTTGAGACTATAGGGACTTTTTTTTTCCCCAGTGCGTTAGGTTAATGCATCTTCAGAACATCTTACATCGATAGTTTGCATACCTGAGGAAGAGAATTTTTCTCTAGGAGGTAATTTCTGCATATATGCTGTGAAGCGAGACATTGCAGGATCCAGACATCAGATGGATTAATCATGCTGATTCCTTACATCTGCAAAGAGAAGCTAAGCTTTCAAAGGTCAAATAGACAAACTCTGAAAATCAGAATAACAGCACTGTTTTGGCAGCACTGGGGTGACAAGCCTGCCGGATACTTTCTGGATATTTCCTGTTGGTGGACTTTGTTTCAATTCCAGTTGCAGTATGGTGAGCACTAACCCTATTAGTAAATTCCTAATTTTCCATAAACTGGAAATGTATCTCCTGGAACAGACCGGTTTACATTGTTTTCCCCACTTGCAATTTGATCCTTAAGCCATATAATATTCCTTTGCTACCTATGATCATTCAAAACATTATCTTCCAAAGATGGCTCAGTAAACTGTGGATCTCTGGAACACATTAATATCTTCAATGATTAACTATGGCCAAGTCAGAAATGTAAATAAAAAATTGTATCTGCATGGCTCTTAACGTAACTGAGATATTTCTCCCATCTTGATTAGGCCAATGATGCTTTCTGCTTTTATAGAGTTTGACATTTGAAGTGTGACAGTGCAATCTAGAATTTCCTAGTGTCCATATGCAGTCCCTGTATCTCTATGGATACATTTGGGAAAAGGATGGACAAAAGGTGATCCATTTGCAAGACTCATCTTTCAGAGATTCCCTGCAGAACTTGGCTGGAAAATGCACTAACAGGCACAGGAACACTTGTGTGACTTCTCTGTTGGCTACGGTTTGTACTCATAAGCTGTGCTGTAGCAGTGTCTTGTGGATGGCTACTGAAAGTCAGACCCACAGAATCATAGAGTAGTTTGGGTTGGAAGAGACCTTAGAGATCATCTAATTCCAGCCTCCCTGACATGGGCAAGGACACCTTCCACCAGACCAGGTGGTTCAAACTCCATCCAACCTGCCCTTGAACACTTCCAGGGAAGGGGCATTCACAGTTTCTCTGGACAACCCCTCCCAGTGCCTCACTATCCTCTGACTCATGACCCATGCTCTCACTGAGCTTCTGAGTTAGGCTCTGAGACTGAACAGAAAAGCTGATCATGTGAAGTCATACAAGGCTAGTGGAATATCAGGCAGATACGGTTTGGATCATCCCTATTCTGTAGAGATGATCTTCTTGTCTACCCTCAGCGCCAAGATAAAGCCATGAATGAACAATCCAATGCCAGTTCTTAAATCACTTATGGAGTGTTCAGGGCATGCACATGTGGGTTTTTGCTCTTCTGAAACAAGTGGTGACAAGCATGCAGGTCTTCTACTGGAGGCAAAGTCTTGTGCTGCTTTCCTGGAGGGCATGAAGGTCTGTATGGTTGGAAAACCTGTGCTGTGTGATGCCTGTGCTTGGAAACTGGTGTTTACTTGTCTTGGGAATCTAAGAACAACCTTGTCTATACAAAGAGAATGCAAAGCCTGTGCTTCAGAAAACCCATAAGGAAATAGTTTTTATAAAGATGTCTGTCTCTGGAAATGTTGTTACTGCCATCAATGCTCTCTACTGCACCATGTCTAAATTCCTCCCGAGATGTCTGTGGCAATTCTAACCATTTTAAATTAGTATTTGCAATATTAATAATACACTATTTGAGACCCTCATTTTCAGAAGGCAGCTCCTTCTGCAGCAGAGAAAACTTCAGCTTCTCTTTGCTCTAGGTATCAGTATTTGCTGTTATTGGAGGCAGCTTTCACAGAATGAATTTGGTTGGAAAGGACCTCTGAGATTAAGTCCAACCTATGACCAACCAAACACCACCATGTCGGGTAGACCACAGCACTGAGTGCCTCATCCAGTCTTCTCTTAAACACCTCCAGGGACAGTAACTCCACCACCTCCCTGGGCAGTCCACTTCAATGTCTAATTACCCTTTCTGAGAAGAAATTCCTCCTTATGTGCAACCTAAACCTTCCCTGGGTACAGTCTGAGGCCATTTCCTGTTGTCCTCTTGCTGGCTGCCTGGGGCAACAAAGAAGGTCTCTACAGTTACCTGAAAGGAGGTTGTAGCAAGGTGGGGGTTGGTCTTGTGCATAAAGAGGCTGCATCGCCTCGACTCTGCAAGAAATGCACGCTATACATTCAGGATTTTCTGCATGCAAAGGCATAGGATTGTGAACTCTTCTTGTCTAGCCCCAAAGTTATCCTGTCTAATGGATAGCAGAATAAGCAAGGAGAACTGTTGAAGGATTAACTTGCTGAGTCAAAAAAGCCTGTAAGTGGTTAACAAGTGTTCAGCCCTGCTGAACTTTCATAACACTGCTATCCAAAAGTGATTTGACCTTGCCATATTTAATTTTGGTGTCATTGTTACTGATAATTTCTGCTCTAGAATCATGGCTGCCAAGGGATCCAAGAACTGTAGACCACACACCAGAAAAATTCCAATTCTGCATCACTGGACTGCCTGGTGCTCCCAGGTTTGAGCTATGCTTAACTTCTTCAGGATTTATGTAGAAACAGATCGGGATCTGTTTTGCAAATGTTCTGTTCCTTGTCACCCTCTAATCAAGGTCTAGCCATGTTAGGAGACTTGCTGACAGCCTAGGACAAGAAGTGGGAAAACCAAAAAAGTTCTGGTCTTTCTCAAGTGTTTCTGCACAGGCAAACTAGAACCAGAGGCCAGGTGCCTGCCTGTATCACTTGTGACATCTTGAGGCAAGATGTTCTGCTTGCTCAGCCTTCTCAGAAGATTCATGTGATGCTCATCAAGTCAAGTAAAATGTATCTTATGCAGATAGTCTTTAATGACACCACTACATCACACACTAAGTGTCTGAACGCCAGGGAGGTTGTGCTCATTCGTGGGGTATGCACTGACATGGAATTCTTCACAGGCTAATGCAGTTTCTCCAACCAAAGAGAAAAAAACCCTGAACAAACCAGAAATGCTACAGTTTCTAAACTAAACCACATCTTAATATCTATTTAAGTGTTAATATAAATTAGTGAATAAGAAAACACAAATAAAGATTAGCGAAAAAGAAAATTGCTACTATCATTGGCTAATGAAGAGCTCTCTTTGCAGACACTGGTAGTCAAAAAAATGAGGGTGTGGCAGGATTAACACCGCTCTTGCACAAGGAAACAGTTGTTGCTTTCACAAGTGCTGCTGAACAACATTGTCCCACTCAAGAGTTCCAGATGCAGATACCAATGGTTGCAAGCAGCACCTGTATATCAATGTATAACACATACACACACACACACACACACACACACACACAAGAATTCCAAGTACTTTTAAAGATAATAGAATTCAGGAAGGTGTTTTTTTTTTGTTTGTTTGTTTTGTCTATGTAATACCAAGAGGCAGATGAAAGAAAATTACAAAGGTAAAGAAGCACAATATAAATTATTTGTTTTCAACATACAGGGTGACAAAGAAATTCCTATCTCAAGGATGTGCCTTATGGGGATTCAGAGTAATTTCCCCAGGCCTAAGTGTCTCAAAAGAAGAGCCTGTTGCCAGCCTGAGAAACTCAAAACATTACATATCACCAGGACCAGGTGCTATTTTTAAAAACCTCTACAATAAATATGAAAAAAACCCACTAAAACAACACAAAAAACCCAAACCCAACAAAACCAAAAATGGAGATACAGTTAGGATTTTGTCAATTACCATTAAAAATGTCTCCACTGCTCTGGACAACTGCTCACAGCTAAACTGCAGCCTCTAAAAGCTGCAGTTCTAGAGGAAACTGAGATACATTCATAGAGGAAGGCAGTGCCTTTCTCAGGCTGCTTTATGCCTGAGTAAGCGTAAAATAATGGGACACAATGTAAGAGCTCTGCAAGTTACCTATGTGTCCTAAGCTACTAAAACTGTTCAAACAAAATAAAAATTAAAGATACTCCAAGAACCATGAGGAAACCCTAAAGTTTAATCCTGATTTGGAAATGGAGTGTGTAACCACTCCTCATAAGAGGAAGAATGTAGCAATTTTTCTGAGCAGGATAAGTTATTTGAATCTTCTTCAACCTAGAACAGGCTCTTACCTATGCTGCCAATTTGTGAGGAGGATTGTAAATTCTCTTGTAAAACAAACAAACAAACAAACTCCCCTGAAACTCAAAAAACTTCTTCAAACACAAGAAAACAGTTTGAAGGTAGATGGCAGGAGGGAAGAGGTGAATCCCTTTGCTGGCTGTTGAACAGACATGTAGTTGCTCTCTGCTTTCCATCTTCAGCAGATTTAGAGAATGTAGGAGCATAAAGCAGTTTAAAGCCACCTTTACTGGTGCTCTTTTTAGCAATAAAAACCAGAACTTTGGCATAACAGAGATCTGTGATGCAATTCAGAAATACTTAGTTATCTCAGTGTTCATCTACTGAAAACATAAGGTATTCCTTTAGTGTGCTTTAATGGGTACTTATATTTATTGTATGCTCATTTTACTGTTACTTCAGGAAATATCTTAGGAAAAGAATATGGAATTGCAAGGCACTGCACAGTTAGTCCAATAAAAGCAAATTCCACTACCCTTTGAAATCCTACCTGCAGCTTGCTTTCATCTGCTAAGAGTAATAGCTATCACTGCCAACAATCTTTGAACAAAACCATTTTGTGATTTCTGTTTTGCACATATCCTTGATTTAACAAGAAAGATGGGTAACATCTGTGGGCAACTTCAACTTCCACTGGGTCCTTTTTCAGAAGAGATGTGAACTTCAATCTCCTTGGGCTTCTGAAAACCAGGTTTTCTATTTCATGGAAGAGTACCCTCACCTTGTTTCAGCCAGTTTCTTAAACTCTTCTGACGGATTTTAGCAAGTCATGACAATTTTAAACCAGCTCTTTGGTCTGACCCCATCTTTCCCATTCCCCCTTTTCAATCACAGTATGTATCCTCACCCTCTGTTGCTTCTGCCAACAGTTTAAAGATATCTGATTACAATAGATTTTTTTAACATGCTTTGAATAGGAGAAAGATACCTTAAGCACTTTGGCTTTCTTGGAATCATGCTGTCTTCTGTACTGTAGTAGAAGATTAACTCTTATATCAGTTTCTCTAACACTGTTGCAGCTGCGGATTTTCAGCCACAACTCCAGTTCCTCAGATGAAAATGAGCTGTTATAACCTTGGCCTTATCTGATACAGAAAGAGATCACCTCTGTATTGTTTATGTCAAAGCACAAGACCCTGTGCCTCTGAGACAGAGTCTTTCCTGGAAACTTTCCTGGCTACCTCATACAGTACCCACAGCATTCCATTATCACACAGATATACAACAACCATTACAAGGGAGATCCCAGGTTCTCTTTACAAGCACTTTTAGTTAAAAAAAAAAAAAAAAAAAAAAAAGCCAAAATACCTAATTTGTGTCCTTTAATTTCCCAATATGTTAGATACCTATTTCACTTGAAGAACAAGGTTTTTGTTTCTCAGCTTGTGGGAAAACACAAACTGGAAGTATGCAGCTACTTGCATTGGTAGCAATTTAAAACACATACAAAGAACAGATTAAAGCAAAGGAAACAAGATAAAAAAAAAACCCAAACCCAAGCCTCTTGGTAAAACTGACTTGTTAAATAGCAGAAGCTCTTTTAGATGTGCCTACAAGAGAGTCTCAGCCATTAAACAAAGCTGGAGCATGTATCTGGCTAGTTCACTGCCAGCTTACAAACTTTTATGTTTTAAAATCTATTACTTTAATTCTTGACAGCAGTTTATCTAAATACTTTGCATTAGTAAGACTGTAAATGTGATATTAAAGTATGCTAGTCTTAAGTTCTTTCACAAGGGCAAAGTACTGCTCTACATTTTCACTATAGCGTTTTAAAAATAAGCTTCTATAGAGGCATTAAGAGGCATTAAGAAACTGCGCAGATACTCTATTTAACCAGGCTTTAACATTTCTCTTATACACAAGAGATAAAACTTGATTCAAAGGTAGTTTTTACAAGCACATACATTTTTTCCCCCTCCATTTTCTCTATTTGTGATATGGAAATGAAAAGCCCCCAGCTTGTTGAAAGCAATGAATAGCTGAATTCAAGCACTATTCCCTTCTGGAACCTCCATAACAATACAACCAACAGGGGGCTGTCTGGCTACACGATGTTATCGAAGCTGCAGTGAAATCCTTTTTCTGACTGTACCACCTACCATCCACAGACACTTCCTAAAATTGGTTGTCACACAGGCCATTTAACAGATTTCATACCTGCAAAACATTAGAGCTCTTGTCCACCTTTGTCTCATGTTACTGAAAATTTCTTATTTTTGAGTCAGAAGTTCCATTATACATAGATGGATAATACAGTTTTAATGTATTTATTGATGTGTCTGAAAAAAACCCAGATATCGCTTGTTGGGAAAGAGGGACACTTTCACAATGTCTTCATGACAGGAAAGGTGTGTTGCAGCTGTTTCCATATGCTAAGAAGCTATATCTATATAAGCATTTTTGTGTTGGTTTTCTATGTAGATACCAATCTTCTGCAGAAGGAAAGAGGGAGATGAAGATGTCTTTAGTCTCTTTAATACTGATTTAAACAGCAGATAGGCAAAGCCTCTCTGTAGGACTATGAAGAAAGGAAGAATAAGGCCCTGAATATTCTTTACAGTGATTTAAGCAATTAAACTTTAAATTTAAACTGGATTGCCATTCTTGAGAGTGGAGGGTGCTTTTCTTGGTGCCAGCATTGTTGCTCACGTAGCAAGCACATTCAGCTGGCTGAGCATACCAAAAACTAACCTAAAGTCATTCAGTGAAACCACCATGGAAATATCAGAGCCATACGATGTTGAAGGAAACAGGAAGGCTCTCAGTCCCAAAACTTGTCTGGCTTGAGAATCACAGGACTGTAGAACCACAGTCATATATTATTGTTGACTGTTCTAACTGGTCCAATAATGTAACCCCTGAAGCTTTTAATTTGCCTTTCTTTCAATAAAAGCTTAAAATGTATACATCTGAGACTTTATATGCTATAATTTTTGCCTTATATACTTCAAATTTTATAACACTAAAAGTTTTTCTGTGTATTTGTTGAGAGATTCCAAAATGTTTTACTTTTAAAACCACTTAAAAGTGTAAAAGCTGCTTACAGAAGGTTCCTTTATAGGTAATAAAGCCACTTGCTTGCCCTGCAGAAACATAGGGAAATGTGAAACTTTCTATCCATATCTGTCTCCTATGGCTATAAACAGCATAAAAGAACAATATGGATATATTATTCATGTCTTTCAACAGAAACTAAGTCAGCCTTTAGCTACTCAGCACTGTTTACTTTAGACTGAAGTTACAAGCTGGATAAATGCTGCTATAATTAATTTGTTAATTTCAGAACTTTCAAAAATAAGGTTCAAATTTTACATTAAGAGACAGAAGCAATATTAGATAAAATCAAATTTGATTTATTAACAAATACAGTTATTATATGTGAATAAAATGTGGAAAGAAATAGAATTGCACCTGAGAGCCATTAAATAACTTCTAACAGAAATAAACTATGTAAAGTGAAAAATACTCCAAAGATTATTATCCCCTTCACAGAAAGATGAGCATTGTCACTTGTGCCACTGCATTTTTTTCCATAATTATTTCTTATTTCTCTTTATAGGTAAACATTTTATTCTGATACACACAACTTCCACCTTAGAAAGGAGATTCACATATATCTCAGATGTAAGTTTTCCCTCAAGTACATTTTAAACTTTTTGTTTAAAAAAAAATAGCAGCTCACCACTTTGGATATATTTCTATCATTTCTTGTGATTTCTATGACAGGTTGTGATGAAGAAGATAAAGGAAGTCTAAACATTTCAAATTTCCATCATTACCGTTAGTATTGCTAGCTGTCTAGGACAGACTTCCCTCAATACTTAACAAGATACCATGATTAAGGGAAAAGCTGAAACATTTTCAGATCTCTGTATCTAAATACCCAGTGCAGACCACTCTCACTCAGCAAAGTGTGCCATATGCAGTAAGTATCAAGAAAACTGGTTTTGAAATTTGAAGAACAATAGCCTGTAGAAGTCTTGAGTTACTTTACAATGTTAACAATGCACTGCTTACCACTGTACAACTCACTCATTCTTTCTGCAAAATAGGTCTTCGTGGGTAAATTTATTGTCAAATATGCTGAAGTTCAAATGTGAACATTACCTTCAGTGTAAATAGAATATTTTACAGAATGTTGAAGATGTTACTCATGAAATGACATTAAAAAATGGCACAAGTATTTAATAATAAGAGTCACATTTGCAAAATGAATCAGTGACAAGACAGGACAGAAATCAGAGTACTTGGGCGTTCACAGGACTGCACAAGTAGACCATGAATCACCAATATGGAAACTCTGCTTCTCAACTTGAGCTGGTAACAAGGAAAGCTGATTGCAGATCTTATCTTTAAAAGATACACAATACTCACCTCTTGCTCCAAAATCAGAACTGACGAATGCCATAGAAAATTCCATGAGGAAATGTACTCTAGTACAGCTACTAAACAAAAGTGGTTTGTTTTTTTAAACAAAACCCCAACAGCAATTCAAGGGAAATTTCTATTATCCCTATTTTAAATGTGACATCGAGGTGTAGAAACTACCTATGCCACAGTTTAAGGTATGCTTTAACAAGATAGGAGACTTGTGGGCAGACATAACATTACAGAGTATTTTAATTCAAATGACAACTCCCAAGAAACTCACCTACAAATGTGAACTGCCAGTGTTTCCTCAGCATTAAGCTTCTTGTTGGCACTGCCCAAAAACATCTTCCCTGGCCCAGCACCCGCACCAGGCCAGTCCTATCATTAGGTTGAATATTCTGTGTGATCACAAAGATTGCTTCATAATACACTGACACAAGGGGGCAAATGAAGATTGCAGAACCTTAAAGCAGGAGTTCTCTAACTTCTTATAGCTTCATTTTGTGATCTTCATGTTCTTTTTACAGTTATCAGGGTGTGTTCTGTTTATTGCCCCCACAAAAACATTTCCCCCTTTGAATTTTAATTCCCCTTATTAGTTGAAGCATTTTATTTACTTCCACAAAGACAATGAGAGACCTGAACAATCTTCCACACAAAGAAAGGCCAAGAGAGCTGAGAAGAAAAACCTGTGTTTGTGTGTCCTTCCAGCCTGGAGAAGAGAAGGCTTGTGTTTGTGTGATCTTATCAAAGTTTCTAAACACCTGCTGATGGAGGTAAGGGGTAGCAAAGAAGAGATAGGCAGACTCTTCTCCATTGTGTCCAGTGATAGGACAGGAGGCAACAGGTACAAAATTAACTACATGAAATTGTGTCTCAACAGGATAGGTTGTGGAGTCTCCATCCTTGAAGATAAACAAAACCTGATTGGACAATGCCCTAAAGAAACTGCTTTGTCTGACTCTGCTTGAATTAGATGATCTCCAGAGTTCCTTTCCTACCTTAAGTACTCTTATTTTGGGATTCCTTTTCAGGAACAAAATCCACAAAGTAGCAACCAAGGGTACTAATAAGCTTGCTCTTTTCTATGTGGAATATGATGAGGGGAATGAAATTGACAGTCATTTTGCAGATGACAGCAAAAGCTACTACTTAACAGTTTACATTCCCTTCTGGATCTCAAGTGCAGAACACCCTAGTGAATTTTAGGAATGATCTGAAGTGTGCAAGCCCTTTCTCCCAGGCCTGACTCGTTCTCTTTGCCTCAAGCCAGATCCTTTCTGTCAGGCTGCTGCTTCTTCCAATTTCAAGAAACAAACTCTAAATCTTTGCCCAACCCAATTCAATCCTTCAGATTTTCCAGTTTATCAGATCTGTCTTTCCCCTATCAGTTCTCAGCTCCAGTCTTTCAACACTAGATTTTTAGACATGCTCCTCTCACTAGACATTTTCACACCTATACAGCTACTAGTCTCAGTTTATTTTCAAGCAGGCCTACCTTTCTTTCTCTTTTATATGAATTAGGCATCTTTTTCCTGTGCAGTTCCTAAGCCTAGCAGAAAATAAGCACCTGAACTGAAAACAGTGAGTCTTCTTTTCTCACATCAGGCACAGTCCTTAGGATCCCAGAGTTGCAATGCAGAGAGTTTGATTTGGTCACAGCCTGTGGCACCATCCATGCAGGCAAACCTCTGGAAAATATAACTACTAATATTATTTAAGCCACCTGTGAACCATGTGAGAAATACAACATCCTTTCCAAAAGTTTAGGATACAAATCATTTGAGTAGGTCTTCATAAGCACTTCAAGTAATTTTCTTAATCCTGACAGGAACTTCAGTTCCTCAGTTGAACTCTGGTTCTGCAAATGCTCAGATTGTATTTTCATCATGTCACTGAACTGTTTTAAGTTGCTACAGCCAACAAACAAGGTGGTCCAACCTTCACCCTTCTGCTTCTTCCCCTTCTCTGCCATCTCCTGCCTTGTGCCAGTGATAGGGGTTTGCATTGAGAAGCAGAAGGAAACAGCCTGTTTCACTGATCCCATGAAGGCCTACATGGACACAATGAAGTAGTCAGGAACACATGGTTTGGCCGTTGGACTTTGACAAAGCCATGCAAATAGACTTACTTGTTGCATGCTCTCAGGTCTTTCTGATCAGCTCCTTAGATTCATATCTACTCATACAAGTCCCTGGGAAAAATCCTGGATATATTAAAACACCAGATCTATAAGAGCAACAGGATGGATGATCCTCTGCAAGCAGCAGTCTACAGTTGGCTGACAAAAATCAGTGACCTTTAAAGGAAGTGGCATAGTAGAAGAATAACACGTTTTTCTTTTATAACTCATAGAACCTGGTACAGCCAAGCAGTTTTAAGTTTTAAAACAGTTGAAATGTATGTGCAGGTCTTTAATATTAAGTAGTTAAAAATAAGCAAAAATAACATAGTGCTACTTTAAGAAATTTAGTGAGAAAGCTATCCAAACTTTGAGTCAGATAGCATATTTTTTTCTAAATAATCAACCTCTTTTTGGTCACATATCTTAAGAGACCTGTAAAAGGTAAGGGTACACATGGAAGTGTTCTTTACGAAAAGCCATAGGCTATCTAATTATGCACAGCTTTGCTACTGAGAACTGCTCAGGTCTGAACTAAATTGAGAATTTTAGCCATCAGTAGTTTCAACAGTTCAAATCTGTAGCAGTAGCAGACAAGAAAAGCGTAATTTTTAGCAGCACATACACCAGGTTGAAATTCTATACAGTCAAATAATGCAAATTTATGAATTATAAAAACTTGGATTCATATTCATCTACATCATGTTTGTACCTGTGCAACTGCACCAGTAGCAGGCTTGTGAAGGCTGAAGTGAAAACAAATCCCCAGCGCAGATAAGCTTTTCTCCTCCTTTTAAAACATCTATATGATATATAAACTTGACTCTGTGAGCACTTAATTGAAGAAGGTATGCGTATTTTAAATGGTAAAATACAACAGGGCTAATAAAATTAGATTAGCAAGTGATACTGAGTCATGATAGTGAAGAAAATAAAATCTTAAAAGGAAACACACTTTCAGATCTGTATCTAAAATTAGTGACATTTACATAACCATTAGTCTACATTTGACTCACCACACAGTTCTTGCATGCAGCTTTTAAAAGGAAAGGAGCCCAAGTAATTTCCATTCTCACTGCAGTGATTTCAATCTCAATGAAAGATTCTCCTGCAAGAGAAAAATCTTAGTGGAAGATGAGAAAAAAATTAGTAAATTCAGTCGGATCCACAGTTTAAACTTCTAACAATAAAACTGTTATGTGTCTATAGCAGATTCAGAAATGAAGTGATTAATAGGTTTTGTTAAAAAATTTGGAAGACACTTTTGCTTTGTGAGTTCTCTTTGCTAAAAGCATGACCAAAAATTTCCCAGTTCCATTCATTTAAAAAATGCTGTAAAAATGAATACACAGTTTTAAGGGTTTTATTAATAAAATACTGACAATTAAAGTAACATAATTTTTATAGTTTTTAAATATATAAAAAAACCACACTTACCAAAGCATTGTTAGACAGGTGTAGCTTGAGATGGCTTCTTTAAAAAGTTCAGTTTTCAGGTAAACCAAAGCAAACTTATATATGTCTTTCCTTTATTTACGATCAGTCCCTATGAAGTTTAAATATTTTCTGAACAGATGAAAATACAAACAAAAGCCGAGAAAGTCTTCATAAAACAGACACTATACAAATTTGCAGCAACAAAAAGGCATATGATATACACGAAATGTCCTTTTCCATGACTCGCGTGCAGAAGTGGCAAGCCTTACTTCAGCAGCACAGTTAATACTGGAGATATTTACAGTCTTAACACCAATATTTACGTGCTGCTAAAGTATGACAGACATCAGCATTACCAGATTGACTAATTCCTAAGTGGTATGTCTCTTCAGGGTGATGAAATCCTTGTATTTTTGAGGCAGCACAATATGGCCTGCACCTTTTCAAAACCCACAAACCATTATGTGCTGCTACGTTATGCCAAGGTGTCTACCATGCTTCAAGGAAATAGAAACACACTGAGAGCTTAATGCAGAATTTTCTTATTGAATGTTAGCTTCCATGTAGTAACATCAGCTGTATTAATAAACTGCAAAATGTTTATAAAACATCTGTCCATTGCCAAGTTGGCTGTTTATTTACAGTCCTCTAGACTTTACTGCCAACGTGCATAATACCTTAATGGGACATGAACCAGTAACTGGACAATTGTGTGTCTGATTAGAGGAACTAAAGATTATACAGATGTTTACCTCACAAAAAACCCCCCAAAAAAGTCTGAGTTATTTTCTAATCTAACTTTTGGTCATCTGGAGATGGATGTGAAACAAAAACCCCAACAACTTTCATATATATAACAGAATAAGAGACAATTTCAAAATTAGCTTCTATCAACTACTGTATCAGTCCTCAAGACATTTGTTACCTCTGCCATTTACTCTTACTGCAATTTTTGGACAGATTTACAAGTGCTTCTTAATTAATTTTAGGGGAAAAATACATTTAAAAAAATCCACAACAGATTGTTAGCAAGAATAGTAACTTATCTCTTATTAGGAGCAGGGGTTCATTGGTCCCGAGGTCTAGAATGACCATGCTACTTTTACTTGAAGAAGTAAGCAAGAGACTTGGAGTTCACATGCCTGCCAGGTATCATTTTCTTAGGCTAAAGTATGCCAGAGATTTAAGGGTGTGCAATACTTCTACTGGTTCCCTAGATAACATGAATTATGCTTTCTTTAAAGTTTTTATACCAATCTATTAAGACAAAAGCTACTTACTCAGCATGGACCCAAGCACTCCACTTCACTGCAATAAGCCTTCTAGTCAGTTCATGATAAACAACTTCTGCAAATTAACAGGGCTATCCGTAAGCACAAAAAAGGTTTGGCAGGCCACATGGGGGAAAGATTAGTGAGTTTTTCTTCTCTCCTTTTTTATTTTTGCTCCTGCAATAATACAGCAGGATAATTAATATCTGTTAGAGGAGTGCATGGCCACAACTGTGCCAATTGGAGTGAGAGTGCCAGTGTAAACTTACAGGTAGCTGCAGCAAGACTGTTTTTATATAGCTATCCAGGTAGGAATGCTAACTTTAGGAACTGTATAAAAGAGCCATTTCCAGTATATTTTTTACACCTGCAGCTATATTTACACTTACACTTCCTCCCCTCCCCCCACTTACTACCTATTTGATATTTAAATCAGACAGATAAAACAGGCTAACTAGATTGAATTAAGGCCCAACTTACTCAGTACCATGGTGATTTAAAACCAGAGTGCAAAGTCAAAATAAATCTAACTGTAAATGCTGTGACAGTTGGTCTCCCCCATGAAGAAACTGTGCTAGGCATAAGCCAAGAAAGGAAGAGGTAAAGACAAAATCTCCACCACATATAGATAATTTGGAAAGTAAAGATAGATGTGAGCAAACATGCTAGCTAGAAGTAAGAGATTTATTTCAACTTTTATGGGAAAAGAATATGAAAAATGTTCTCCAGCAAGAGAAAATACTGCTTTGTACTTGTAGATTTACCTTAAAAGATTGAAAGAAAATTATTTAAATGTGACAGCTGCAACATTCAATACCTTTGGAAGTATGTTTCTCATTTGTGCATTCAGGCCAAATTCTTCATTTGCAAACTGTGTGTTTAACTAGATGCTGTTCTTTCAATTGCCTATTTGTTTTCAGCTTCTAGCTTAAGCATGGAGGGTTTTTTTTCTGTTGGATAAGTAAATCCCTCTAAAATTAAACTGTACTCACCATAAAATGAAGATTTGGCAGAACTATTATAGTATTTTCTACAGTAAGTACATTAGTAAGAAAACATGCAGGTAATTCCACCCACCCATACAAAACATGACCTTCTGCAACCGGACTTGTCTATCTCGCATTGGCCTTTTTAGCCATCAGCGCGCTTGTAGCAAGCGTGGGTGGAGCCCTTTCAAATCTTCGTTCGCGAAGCCTAGCCATGATGATGATGACAAAACATGAACACAAAACCTTACATGAATTACAGGATTCTAGGTTGGAGGGGTTCTTTTAGGGTTTTGGGGGGTGGGTTTTGTTTGTTTGTTTGTTTGTTTTTTAACTTTACTACAAAATGCCACCAAACCAACCAACCAACCAAGTAAAAATCTAACACGACTATATATTTTCTACACTGCTATTAAAATACACTTTATCTATAAGGAAAATAAGAAAATTTTCACATAAAATTGAAGGCAGTATATGTGAGAAAAGTGGTTGAGGAGCACAAAAAGGATGAAAGGAGGAAGTCTAAGATAAGAAGTATACTGGCAGCTAAGCTAGAAATCTACTGAAATCCAGGAGTATCTGCACAAAGCTGTGTATGTTTTGGTCATAAAGCTAATACAGTCATGGTATTGAGAGTGCTTCTCCTACCTCCACCCTTGTGTCTTAAGATGGAGGTCTGTGGATGAGAGACAGACAGACAAAGAAGACCAGTGAAAGCTGGGAATCATGTATGCAGGCAGCTCCATTAGATCAAACCCCTGAAAGCAAGAGCTCTGCTAAAGAAGGATTTTGAAGATGCACAACTGAAATTCCATAGGGGCAGGCTCTCCACACCTACACAGAAGTCAGGAATGCCATTTGGAAAAACAACAGAAACTGTTAAAAAAAAAAAAAAAAGAAAAAAAGAGGACAAAAAAAAAGTGTGTGTGTGCTTGTGCTTTTTTTAACAACTCGAGTGTTCCCAAGGAAGGAGCTTTTCCTTGATTTCAGTATTTCTTATTTGATTTATCAAAGACCAAGCCCAACATAAAATATAATTTTCAGTTTTTGTTGTTTACATTAAAGAGTTTATGACAACACCAAGCCAATCTCAATCTCTTTCTGACACTATGAAAACCAGCTACAAGTGAATTTCTGGCTTCTGTAGCTACTAATAAGCTCTTTAAATGCTACTATAACTACTAATAAGCTTCTTAAATCTCTGTATAACATATTATATCCAAAAAGCTACTACTAGGCCTGCAATCTGACAGAGAGGTCAGTGATTTGGATTAAAACATATAAAGGCCTTTGTATTAAATACTGTATGTTGTCTCAAATGCCCAACATGACATAAGACTGAAAATTTACCTCACCTCTTTTGCTTATACAATAAAAACACTCTCCTGATACTTCTTGGCCAAAACATTTTCCTCACTGGTAGTGTTTAACACCATTTGCACACAACTATATTCCACTGCTTTTGTTACTTACTCATTAATGCAAAGCCACACAGATTCACTATGAAAGCAAGGCTATTGCTTCACTTTTTATTTTGACCCTTTCCCAATCTTATTTCAGTTTGAAATTAGAAATCTGAACATGAAAGACTCTTGGTGTTGCACAGTCTAAAGCATCATATTATTTGTCCAGTAGTGCTAGTCTCCTTCATAACACTGACACTAGAAATTACATCTCTGTATCTCAGTTTTCCCAGTTTACCTAAGTTTAAACTAGAAATGAGACAGGGTTTACACTGAGATGGCACAGCATGAAGCCAAGCATCTTTGACAAGTGTGTCCTGCTCTGTGTGTTCCATGCAGAGAGTAAGTTACTCGTGTTAGACAGGACATTTTGCAGTGTAGCTTTTTGGACAACTGCTGGTGAATTTGCCAAGCTTTCCTCTCGCAGTTCAGTGACACTAATACAGCACTCAATATGAATAAACACACTGACAGTTCAACTCTTGCTGGAAATGCTTTTGATTTTTTATTAAATTAATCTGGGCAAAAGACAGAATTAGAGATCTTACTCTTCACAATCAAGAAATCTGAACAGTTCCATTCTCAAAATTTAAGACTGTAAGATCTAAAAGTGTATGTAGTTGTATCTTTCTAATACACTATTTACACCCCTCCCTTCCAGTTTAAATAATAGTTTCATTTTATTTTATATTTGTCATATGCTTACTCAATACTGCAAACACAGCAGAGTTTACAACTCTTGCTCATTCTCATGTTAGATTTAGAACTATATATTTTTACTCCTGTCTCCTTGTTGTTTTGCTAAGGAACCATCTTTTCTTCCTAATTCGTAGTGTTAGCAGCCTTCAAAGTGATATACATGTACTTTTTAAAAGGAGAAAAGATTAAATCGAAATATTTCAAAACATTACTTTAAAGGTATCAGTGTACTTTTGGCTACTATTACATTATTATTATTATTAGCTTCAGGCATATTCAGTTAATTCGCTCAACTTAATTGAGGTTACTTTGTAGTCAAAGAAAGAAAAATTAAGAGAATAAACTATATACCTTGATTGTTCCTCTCCTGAAGTAACAGTGAAATTCTGAATTCATGTTTAAGACTGTAGTTCTAAAAAAAAAAAAAAAAAGAAATAAATTCTTTGCTAGGGTTGTATGTGGGGGTTTTTTTGGTTGTTTTTTTTGTTGGTGGGGTTTTTTTATTTGTTCGTAATTAAGTGACGGTAATCCAGCAATAAATTTGCCTCACTTCATCTCAAAAAGGAACACTCAGGACCAAGCTTATACACTCTCTATATCTTCTACCAAGTAGTTGAATATTTCTAAGACTATTACAAAGTTGTATTTAAAAAAAATCACAATTAATGCTTTAGATGATCTTCTGAACACAAAGATATATATTTAAACAGAGATAGCTAACACTGATTTTGTTGGTTGGTACAAACTTGGACAAAAAAAAAAAAGAAAAAAGAAAAAGATTCTCTGTTAACTATTTCCTGATGATATCAAACATATCCCCCATATAATCATGGCAAAAGCCCAGGAGAACTACATTGTTTGCAATATAAAGTATTAATAATGAAAGTGAGGCAGATGACTACTGATTACTGAAATTTACTGCTACTAAATTTGGAGAATCTATATCATGTGTCCAGCCATCTCTCCAAGGATCACGAACAAACAGATTTAGACTAGCTGGAGAACTACTGCGTAAGATAAACATGAAATAACAAAGCCAGCTAAAAATAAAAACCAGGAAGTAAAACCATTGAGAAATTCAGAAGTATAAAAATACCTGGAAACTTAGAAGTGCAGTTAAGGACTCTCAGCATCAAATCCTGCCTTACACCCTTTTTACTTAATCTAAGACTCCTAGTCCTAAGACTAGGCTGGCTCGCATTTGTTTGTATGAAGTGCACTCTCCTCCCCCCATTGCAGTCAGGAAACCAAACCAAAGTGAAGACAGTCACTTGGTTCTGCAATATTGATGCTTCTATTGGAGTGATGAAGAGCAAAGAGAATGCAGTGCAAGGCAAGAAACTAAAGGTAGTCAGTTCTGAGTTGAACAAGTACAGTATGTCAATTTTTATAGCTGGTTGGTTAAAAAAAAAAAAAAAAGCAGAACTACAGGAAGCTGATATAGCACACAAAAACTATTAATGTATATTTTGGTATATTATAAGTATATTTTAGAATAAATTCTAGCTTAAAAATAAAATTGTATAAGACTAACCCCTCCCACCTCTTTTCCTGGCTTCTAAAAAGCGTTTTGTCAGATGCTGATGCATTTACTAGATTGCTCTATGAAATACTTTAAAGGAAACTTGTAAAGTGTATCAATCTCCAAGTTCTAACAGAGTTTGTAAAAGTTACATTTCATAAAAGCTTTCCAGATCCCTCTTGCTGTACTGGTATAGCTAGCACACAACTTTTAAAAATCTGTCTTCCCTGCACCTTTGGCAAGCACACAGGAAGAAAACTGTGTGAACACTTTCAATCTGTACCAGCATTCTTTCTGCTTGAAAGGACACATACAAAATTAAGAAAAACGAAGAAGCTATTTTCTAAGTTCTACAAAGTAAGTTTTATATTTCATCACACTAGTAATTAAAATGTTACTTAGCCCTCAATTTTACCACAAAAAATATTAAAACTACATATAGTAGATCTACCAGAAAGAAAGCCAGATCACTCTTTAAATATATCTTCAGTTTCTGTATTAGTATTTGAAAAAAATTTCTAGCACCTCTTCAGATGAAAAAAAAAAAAGAAAACAAATCAAAACAAAAAAACCCCCCAAAACCAAGATATGTGTTTTTCATGGTCTCCAATAAACATATCCTTAGACTATTACCTTCAGAAAAGGTATCCTATTATAGTTCAAATTTACAAAACCTGAAGTATATAGAATCATTGCTGGTAAAAGAGAAAATGTAACAATCCTTCTCCAAACAACAATAACTGTACAATACAAACCATCTAAAAATATGAAGTTATTGAAAAAGGGAAACAGGTTCTCCTCTTAAACATATTAGATTCTTTAAAAAAACATTAAAATTATATCAGCTATTAGTTTTGTATTAATTTCAAGCTTTCTTAAAAAAAAAAAAAATTAGTTTTATTAAATTCCCAGATGACTTGCTGATTTAGCCCAGGAAGCAGTCACAGGCCTAGTGCAAAATTCTGTGCTCTCCTAAGCTGTCACTGTCTTTTATGAAAGATGGTCATGTTTAAATCTTCTAACTCCATAATGTACTGCAAAGCATTTCTTGTCCTCAACAGATTATTCAAGTAGATTTTGCAGGAACCCTGGTGGTCTGTGCACAGGATCAATTTCCAAAGTATTTCGGGGAAAGTGGAAAATACATTCGTCAGTGTTAACTAGACTGCCTACCTAATTGCTGCCTTATCTGAAATTGGTAAATAGCAATAAATTATAGGATGGTAATGGAGCAATATATTTTTTTTAAAATTGGCCTTATATGCAAATAATAACTATTTATACTCCGCCAAACCACAAATCTTTAATTTAGATTTTGTTACATCTCAGTATTGTATGGGACTATAATGCTTAAAGATAAAAACCAGGCCCATAGCTCAGAATGAAACCCCACTGGTAAAGGGCTAAATTTGCTACATGTCCGCTTTCAAAGATTTAGGGTCAGAGTGACAATGCTATAAAATAAGGGTCAAAGCACAAAAAGACCAAGGCCACAGAACAAAGAGCTTTTCGTGTCCTGAAAGAGTTGCTTTTTTGTAAGCCTGCCTTCTGACTCAGACAGTAAATTTGTCTTTTTCTTAACATCATCCCTACATGACTTCTATGAAATGCCAGACAACAGTATGACTTTTGAAAGGTGAGGCTGACCTGTTAGACAAAATCAATTTAACTGTTAAGGGGAATCCCCTAGTTAACAGCAGAAGAACCTCCCAATAACTTCTATAACTTTTCCAGTTGTTAGTTGTATTTATACAACTGCATTATTTAATTAGTCACTTCAGCAGAAGTTTCAAGTGTCTTTAACACCTTTGGGGTACAGATTCCTAGTCATATTATTTACTTAGATTATTGTTTATTCGATGGTAGCTGAGGAAATAGGCAGGAGCAGCAATCTTTTCCCCACCTCCCCATGAAATATGAATAGAATAATACAAATATTAACAGATACCATTTAACACCCATATCTGTATACACTCTTTCAAAAACATTCATGGTTTGGTTCCCTATTTCCCATCAATGAGAATCACTACTCACAGAACTGAGCTAATACAAAATAAAATGGTGCTTTCTGAGGCTGACACAGCTTGATAAGCAGTGAATTTAATTTTTCCAACTAGAAAATGAACTTCACTTTGGATATGCTTTTTCAAAACAACAACAGTTCTTTCAGATTAAAGGAACTTTATCCATTGGGGAAAAAAGAAAAAGGATAAGGATGCTGGGTGCTTCTTACAGTTTTATATTAAGCTAGATTTTCAATATTTCACTAACAATCTTCAAGTAAAACCATGCTGAATTAACTAGAGTATATTAAGAAAAAAGACTTATAATCCACAAATTTAAAAAATATTTAAAACACACAAATAGCTAAAAAGAGAAAAGCCCCCAAACTAAAGTCGCATTCTTAGCCCTATCAAACTGTCTAATAAATATCCAACAACCAAAAAGACAATATTAATCTCTGAAAATTAGCATCTGACTTTTTTTTAAGTAAGAGTATACTTGTCAGTACATTCCTTGAGCAAGTATCAATATTGCAAGAAGTATCTTTCCATCATAATCCAAACCCATATGAAAGAATAATTGGAATTATCACTAAGTTCTGCATTATCTTTTTTAGCAGGTCTAAAGCAAAACATTTTGAAAACTCAGACTTCAAATAATTATTTTCCCCTTCAAAACAGAGGGCTTCTGCCTTCAAAGTTACTATTTTTATTTTTTTCAGTCCTACTAACTTATTTAGAAGCTCAAACTGGAGATTCAGATATGTGGAATTAAGTTAAAAAATATAAAAAAAAAACCTTACCTATTTACTGTGGAGATGTAAAACAGATGAGTTTCAGTGCCAACAAACGAGAAGTTTTATGTAACAGATTCCTTTGCTTTTAATCTGCATTGTTAGAATATCTGATTCCTGTATTAATTATTAAATGTAGCATTGAAGAAAATCTGTGCTTTTTTCTTTCTAAAAATTTAATACAAGTGAAAATTATCTTAATATAGGAAAAGCCTAGTGTAACATATGAAAGGCCTACTCTAATCATCCTACACTTTCTGAAGGAAAGGATTACTCCTCATCTCTCAAGAAGCACTGGTGCGAGAATACCGATTTTCCTTGTGGTGAATAGCAGCCCACAAGTTAAGGAACTGATGCAAACTGGCAGATTTCCCCTTCTAATTCTGAGTCATATGCGTCATCTTTTTGTCAAAAGCTGGAAGAAAAAAAGTCTCTCTTCCAGCCTGCCACATGAAACCACCTGCTTAAAGACAGAATAGACCAGTATTGCAATATTGGTCTGCACATTGCCGGTACTTACACATTTGTTCTTGCTTTGTTAAAATAAACAAAACTCTGAAGACAGCTTTAATGTTAAAGACAGAACTTATTTCTTTGATTTAGGGCCAAAAACCAAGCTGGTAAAAGAAAAAAAAAAAAAAAAGACAAGTCCTGTTGGCATGAAAATGCTTATTCTTAAATTGGTAGTGTCTTACCTGCAAAAGACTAAGGATTCAGTTCCTTAAAAGCTTACATGTACGCTTGCTTTAATCACCTAGAATCAGACGGATTTGGTAGAAATACGTTCTCAAAACCAGGAGTTCATGTGTGTGATTAAGACCTCTTTATCACTGTGCATGATTGTCAACTAATCCCTCAAACCCATCTCCCCAGCAAAACCAAGTCTCCCCGAAACACCAGAGAACCTAAGAACTTCTGTGGGTTAAATTTCACATGCTCCTTTTTTTTTTTTCCTGTTGTGCATTTTGCAAATTAAGAACCAAGAAAGCTATTTTCTCCTTTCACAGATCGATCAAGGTCAGTCATTGTTGGACTATATATACTGTGTGATGACACAATCTCTCTTTCAGAGGCTCCAGCATCAATTAAGGTT